TTTGGGTGTATCTTATACTATAATTATAATAAGGAACCCCCCAAAATAGTAGAGGTGATTATGTAGGCCCCTATATTATAGCGGCCGTCATGATTGGAACACGATTCTGTGGCACGTTATACCTTGATCAAGATAGGAAACACTAAGGAATCAGAGTACTAAACCCTAAACCTTAAACATTAAATCCTAAACCCTAAACCCTAGTATGACTGAGTGTTCAGACCGATGTAGAAGCCTGAATACTTGCCAGTACTGTTCCGAAGGGCTCCCATGACAATTATAGTATAATACACCCACCAAGCCCTATTCTAATTAATGTAGGGAGCCTTAATCATTAGAACAGGGTTTGAGGGTGTAGTATAATATAATTAAAAATAAGGAACTCCCAAGACCCTATGCTAACTATTGAGGCCCCTGCAGTATGGATCTTTGACCCCTTGTCTGCTTTGTGCTGGCTTCTTCAAGGAGTCAGAGATGGCTCCTTCGTCTTTCGAACTTTGATAAGTTCTCGTCCTTTTCACGAGGACCGGTCGGGCTGCATGCAAGGCGACAATAGTCATGACACAACGCACAATTCAGGCACTTTGCCTCCTGCATCAAGAGTACCCTCGAACCTCAGGCAAGCCTGAACCGAAAGCCCTAAACAACAAAAGACGCTCCTTGATACCCACTATAAGCACCCATCCTTCTCGGAAAGCTTTTGGTCCAAGCAGGCCGCAGGATTACCAATACTATCTTGTTTTTGGGTTCCTTGCTATAATTATAGTATAATGGGCCCCAAAACCCTGTTCTAATTATTGAGGCCCCTATCATTAGGCCAATGTTTCGGAAATGTTGGCTCCAGGGTGTAGGGCGTGGAATCTCAGGCTTTAAGGGTTCAAGGTTAAGGTTTAGGGTTTAGGGTTTAGGGTTTAGGGTTTAGGTTTTAGGGTTTAGGGTTTAGGGTTTAGGGTTTAGGGTTTAGGGTCGGTGTGTTTCAAGGGTTTCAGGGAACTAAATGCTTCAGCCTAGCTCTAGCATTCCCCCAAGTCTCCAGATCATTGAACCCCAAGCCAAGCAGAAAGATCTAAGCACCAATAGCGGCGCCATGGGCGCCTTAATGTTTAGAAGAGGGCTTTGGCATATGGGTAGTTCTCTAAATTAGGGTCCCTTTCTAGGTCCCCACTATAGTACGGCACCCTTATAAAAAGGACCCCTCAAGGGACCTTAATTTAGAAAACTGCCCAAACAGTCTAGTAGAGTCATAAAAAAGAATCCTCGGGCCCGGTCAGAGCACCAGAAGTTGGAGTTGGCTTGCCCCCGCGACCGAAAGTGGGCTTGTTAGGTGAACCCACACCCCCCCGCGTCCCGATTTGCTCAAAAACCCGAAAGTGTGCTTCGACCCGAAACCCTAAACCCTAAACCCCTAAACCCCTAAACCCCTACACCCCTAAACCTTAAANNAACCCCTAAAACCCTAAACCCCAAGAAAACCCAGCTGAGCTTGGCACCAGGAGAGGGTGTGCTCCAGGCTCGAGCTGCTCAAGCAGGCGTGCCGGGTGCCGCGGAGCTCAAAAAGGCCCAGAGCCTGACATAGGGTTCAAGGTTT